CACACACACACACACACACACACACACACACACACACACACACACACACACTACTGGGAGCATAATGTTGGTTTTGTTCTGTGGGAAACTGATGAGGAAAGAAGTGAAGAGGAGAGGGGGGAGACTGTTGTCATGACAACAAGCACGGGGTCACGATGGAGAGGGAGGTTGATTCAGAACACACACACACACATGCACACACAGACACACACACAGCGGTGGGACCACCTTCAACTGGACAGGAAACAACTGAAAGCTCCATCTTTGTTGAAGTTCAACACTTCAGACTGAAAGAAGTTCTCATCAGAGTGAGGGTGGATGGATGGACAGATGGTTGGATGAATGGATGATAGTTTGTTGGCTGGATGGATGGATGGATGGTTGGTTGGTTGGATGGACAGATGGTTGGTTGGATGGACAGATGGATGGTTGGATGGATCATTGGATGAATGGTTGGATGGATAGATGGTTGGTTGGTTAGATGGATAAATGGATGGTAAGTTGGATGGATGATAGTTTGGATGGTTGGTTTGTTGGATGGATGGTTGGTTAGATGGATGGTTGGTTGGATCGTTGGATGGATGGATGGTTGGATGGACAGATGGATGGATGGTTGGTTGGTTGGATGGCAGGTTGCATAGCTGGTTGGATGGACAGATGGTAGGCTGGATGGTTGGTTGGATGGACAGATGGATGTTTGGATGGATCATTGGATGGATGGTTGGATGGAAAGATGGTTGGTTGGTTAGATGGATAAATGGATGGTAAGTTGAATGGTTGGTTGGATGGATGGTAGATTGGATGGTTGGTTGGATGGATGGTAGGTTGGATGGTTGGTTGGATGTATGGATGGTTGGATTGACAGATGGATGGATGGTTGGTTGGATGGTAGGTTGCATAGTTGGTTGGATGGACAGATGGTAGGCTGGATGGTTGGTTGGATGGATAGTTGGTTGGTTGGACGGACAGATGGTTGGATGGATCATTGGATGGATCATTGGATGGATAGATGGTTGGTTGGTTAGATGGATAAATGGATGGTAAGTTGGATGGTTGGTTGGATGGACAGATGGATGGTTGGATGGATGGTTGGATGGATAGATGGTTGGTTGGTTAGGTGGATAAATGGATGGTAAGTTGGATGGTTGGTTGGATGGACAGATGGATGGTTGGATGGATGGTTGGATGGATAGATGGTTGGTTGGTTAGGTGGATAAATGGATGGTAAGTTGGATGGTTGGTTGGATGGATGGATGGTAGGTTGGATGGATGGTTGGATTATTGGATGGATAGATGGATGGATGGTTGGTTGGATGAATGGATAGTTGGTTGGTTGGATGGACAGATAGTTGGTTGGATGGACAGATAGTTGGTTGGATGGACAGATAGTTGGTTGGATGGACAGATGGTTGGATGGTTGGGTTCCAAACCATCAGCCTCCAGCAGCGTGCTGACAGCTGGGAGGAGCTGTTTGCCACAGTGCATTCTGGGTAAACAAGCCTTTGGGCTCATGTGTCTCAGGCCCAGTTTACATGAGACCAGTTTCTGTAAACGCTCCTTTACTGGGACGAATACACAAACTGACC